AAACAGGTGAATGGATACACGAGTGTTCAGGGGTGCTGACCTGGGAGCGGATCACTATCTAGTAATGACTAGATTTAGGGGTTTGTTCGCGGGTTGGCGCTACCGGACGGCAGTAACAGAACCACAGTTGGTCTGTTGCATCCGAAGCTGGAAGCTTCAAGAAGCGATTTACTAAGGACAAATATCACACGAGGGTAGCCGAAAAGCTTGACGCCATCGATGGCAGGAAAGAATATGTGGAGAGAGTATGGCAGAACCTTAGGGATGGAATGGTAAGTGCAGCGGAAGAAGTATGTGGAATGACAAAAAGATGTAATAGTAAAAGAAGAGATGCATGGTGGAATGATGAAGTGAGAGAAGCTGTAAAAAAGAAGAAAAAAGCATGGTTAGACTACTTGGCCTCTAGTAACGATAAGCATATGAGAGAGGACGAAAGAAAGATATAAGCTGCAGAAAGTTCAAGCGAAAACACTGATTGAGGAAGTACGTGAAAGGTGTAGAATAGAAGCGGACGAAAGGTTTTCGCACAACTTTAAGGAAAACTCCAAACTCTTCTGGAAAGAGGTTGGAAGGTCCCGGAGTGGTGCGACAGCCTTAAGAATGAATAAAGTGCTTTCGAGAACCAATGACGTCCTCTCAGAAAAATCGGACTTCATGCAGCGATTGAGTGAATTTTATAGAGAAATGTATGCGTGTCATGATCTTAGTGAACTGGCACGCCAGACACGGACCTCGAAGACACTAAAATCATCAGCATGAAAGAGATTGAATGTGCGATTCAAAGTTTGAAATGTGGTAAGGCTGCGGGACCAGACAGAGTTACTGCTGAAATGGTCAAGTACGGTGGGCCTCGCGTCTGGGACAGCTTTCATCTACTGTGCAATTTGTGCTGGCAGACGGGAGGTGTCCTTGATGATTGGTGATCCGCGGTCATTGTGCCTTTATATAAAGGTAAAGATTCACATTTTGACTGCGGGTGCTATCGGGCAGTCAGTTTGACCAGTTTAGCAAGCAAAGTTTACTCGAAGGTTTTGACACGTAGGATGCAAGAGAAATCGGAAAGATTTTTATGGGAGGCACAATGCGGATTTAGACCCGGAAGAGGATGCACGGATCAAATGTTTTCTCTCCGCATGATCACCGTGAAGCTTCTGAGTGTTGAGAGCAGTGGAGATGCGATCTCTTCGTAAAATGTGCGGCGTTACCATAGCCGACTGAAATCGAAACGAAGAGATTCGCAATATGGCAGGATTGAAAGATGACCTTATCACAAAAATTGATAGGGGCGTACTCCGATGGTTTGGGTACGTTGAGCGAATGAGTGAAGACCGAATAGTGAAGAAAATATATAGCGCGAAAATAAATATTAAAAGGTGTCGAGGTATACCGAGACTAATTTTCGAAGACCATGTGAGCAAATTACTTGAAGAGGGGAAGGTCAAGACTAGACGTGCATGTATGAAGAAGTTAATGAACCTGAAAGAAGCGAAAGAGGTATGTAAGGATCGTGACACTTGGTGATCTGTTCTCTCTGGATACCTCGTTAGGGATTGTGCGTGAAGATTAGCAAGTAAGTAAGTAAATAAATATTTTGTGCTTACTTGTTAAATAAAAAGTAATTTATTGTAAACAAACAATAACAAGTATTTTTTTGTATTCACAAATAAAGTGCAAATAACGAGAATCGTCAATTTGCTTTTTTCCCTCAGTCGACATTTTCGGTTCAAGCTCGAAATGGCGCTGTAAAAACGAAGGTTTTTTTTATTTATTTTTTTGTATTATGGAATAGTTAACGAATCTAAAAATGTCATTAAATCGACATCGGCAGCTATGAGCAACGAGGAAACCTTTTTGATAACGACATTTAAAAATTATAATTAAATTAAAAAAAAATTTTAAAACAATATGACGCACTTGTGATTTAAAGATCTTGAGCAATCCAAAAAATGTATAATAATTATATTATATTTCCTTGAATAAGTTAGAAAATATCTTAAGTTGAACTTCCATAGTGAATAATCTAAATAGTATGAAATTATCGAAGTGCAAAGTTTGAGTGTAATTTTACGTACCTAAAACTCATTTTTTTTTACTATTTCTATATGCTTGTTGTATTGTTATATTATTGTTTTGTATTCTTCCATACAGCATTCAGTAACACGACTTGTCCCATTTTTAGGTGGATTCTTAGTGTTGGCTCGTATGTTGGATCACCCATCAGATATTTTATATAATATAATATTTTTAAAAAACATGACCTCATTCGGTCAATTTTATTCATAAGTTACGTGATCAATAAAAGGCGCATCAATTATAATACGTTTAAAGACATCCAACGCAGCGCTATGCCACACTCATATATAATATCGAATGTAGTAAACCTATTTAATTACGCTGCATATAAACATTGTAAATATCATTATACTGTTAATGCCATTGTATAATTATATTATATTCGATATTATATCTCTTTTATAGTATAGCTATGCTTTTTATTTTTTTTTTATAATTCTACACCAACTTTGGTAAAACATGTTGATCCAAAATTAGAATTTTCAGACCAATAATAAATATTAAATGTAATAAGTCCTTACATATGAATTTGGCGTTTTGTACGGGACGAATATAAAGTCAATTTTTTTTGTAAAATGTATTTAATTAATCAAAGATGCACCGCTGTTATATATGCACTTTTGCCATCTCATAGGTAGTTCATTGATCCCTTTACTAAAAAAAAACCATGGGGGGCGAGAATCACTAAACTCTTTGAACGCGGTTCGGACTGCCGCATCAAAGTTGAAATTTTTCCCTTGTAAGATGTTGTCCGAATTCCGGAAAAATGGTAATTTGTTGCAGCATGGTCCAGGGAGTACGGTGGATTTCGCAGACATTCCAATTGTAGTTCATCTAACTTAGTGGTTGTTTGTTGTGCAGTGTGTGGTCTTGCGTAGTCGTAAAGTAGCAGTGGCCTAGAGCGATTGATCGATCTCGTTGTTTAGCAGCTAGTTCTTCCTTCATGGTTTGCAGTTGCTGACAATAGATATCTGCTGTAATCGTTTGGCCAAATTTTAGAAAGATGTAGTGAACGACACCGGTGCTAGTCTACCAAACACTCACAAGTAACTTTTTCTGATTCAATTTTCGTTTGGGGCAGGATTTGGCTGGGTCTCCAGAGTTTAACCATTGCAACGAACGCTTCTGATTATCGTACAGTATCCACTTTTCATCACAAGTAATGATTTGATTTTAAATCCCTTTATTTTTGTGTCGGTTAAACAAAGTAACACAGCAATCGACGTGTGTTTGCAAGTTCTATTCACTCAATTTATGGGTACCTCATAAATTGAGTGAATCGAACTTGCAAGAACGTGCAAGTTTTTTTTACTTTTCCGATTTACTTCAAGTGGATTAATAAAGTTATTATCACTTACTCCAAAGCCTGCAGCTATCTCTGAAGTGCTTTATGATGTATCAGCTTCCACAATAGTCCTTGATTCGTCATTTATTTTTCCACTTTGGTCTCCAGCCATCCACGGACTTGGTTCTGGAGGTCGAAATTTCTAGAATGAAAACGTTTAAACCAAAAAGTACCGCGCTTTCAATTGCGACATATGCGTCATATACATCATTAATTCTTTGAGCTGTTTCTGGTGCCACGGTAGAACTCGTGCTCGTAAATATACCGATATTTTATGTTTTCCATTGTGCGGTAATAAGCGACGCCAAAGAAAAAAATAATGAGAAAAAACAAATGAATGACTGTTTTCAAAACTCAAATGTACCACCTAAATGATTTTATAAATTTGAATTTGGAATTCTTAACCAAAGAGGAGATATTTCAGATCAAAATGGTCAGTACGACAAAATGCTAATTTCATATGTAAGGACCCAATATTATTATCTACACAAATGTTTTTGCAAATAAATATATCTTTCTTTATCTTTAATATTTTGACATATTAATGACATAATTTTATGGACATAAATTGATTAGCTCGACCGGGGTTATGACATGACAAACATGACATGACATGTTATGATATGACTTATCCTCATTTCGATACTCATTTGAGAATTTTGAGTTATATATCTTAATAATTTTGGACATTAATAATATGTTTTTAAAACGTTTTATTTATTTTCGAAATATCTTGTATATTCGAGAGGTGTTCTGAATGCGTAATCTAGAAATAAATGAACGCCATTATGTGAATCTTGACACAATTATTTCTACTTCATAAATTTAATTGGTTCTTCGGGATCGGGATTCATTCTCACGGCCCTCAGGACAACTGATAGAACATGGTCCATTTCTTAAGCTGCATTTAAGATGATGGTGAAACTTATATTGTCGACGATAAATTGTAGATAGTCTTAAACGTAATAGAGCCACGGTGCAGCTCTTTTTTTTTTGCTTAATGTAGGCTTGAGTGTTTACCATTAAACAAATTCTGCCGGTACACCTATGTAAAAATCAAAAAAAAAATGATAATTTCAGCTTTGTGAATAAAAAAAGGATTAGTGGCTTAAGAGAATCTACAACACAATTACCGTCCCGTTTTATCATAAAAGGCGGCAGAAGGAAATTAAAAATGAGATGGGGCGCAGCATTTTTCAGATAACAACTCAAAATAATAAGACACTGCGGTTTCAAACCCGCTTGTCAATCGTGGCAACTACGGCCAACATCTATTATATAAGGCAATTTATAGGAAAGGACTTTGTTCAGCGGTGGACTAATATACAATATTAACCCTTAACCACTTACCCGCGGTCACCATGGCCGCAACGGTTTTTTAATCGTTTATATCTCGACGTGTGTTTGTCTTAAGCTTGTGTGCGTTCATTTACCTTCCCGAAATCCCGGTTAGTAACGCGCTGTTGCTCGACATGTGTCAACGTACGCGCATTGAGCTAAAATTAATAAGACATTTTCGTAAGCGGTCACTGTGTTGTGTGTTGTTTTGTCTTGATATTGTTTTTTGTTGTTTTGGTGTAAAATGAGTATAAACGACGAAAATATTGCGCGGTGCTTAGAAATAGAAGTGTCAGATGAAGAGGAGAGACTGAATGAAATACCAGCGACGTGGAGCTCGATGTTGCGGAAGATTATGTGCTCCAAGAGGACTGTGAATATGACTCTGAAGGTAGCAAGAGCGCATCCTCTTCAGAAGAAGAGCATTTCCGCCTGGAAATGAAGATGATGTTTCTTCGTTTTTTTTTTACTCACGAAGTAGATCGCCAGTTACGCGTGACAGCTTTTTATCGGAAGATGAGGTTTCTCCCGCGCAACACCAAAGTACGAGAAGGAATTTTTTGGCAAGAACCGATTCCGATAGTCTTCTATGCCTTGCACTAGTCGTTCGAGAACTCTGCGGCATAATATTGTTTCACAAGCACCGGGAGTAAAGCCAGCATATTGAGATATTCTTACCAATGCTACTACGCCTCTCGATATTTGGAAGCTTTATTTCTCAGATGAGATGATTAAAAAAATTGTTCAGCATACTAGTGAAAAATAAGGAAGATGAGACCGCAATACAAAAAACAAACGAATGTTCAGGATTTGGATCTCATGGAGTTAAAGGCCTTTATTGGTATTTTATTCTAATCTGCTATCTTTAAAGAAAATCACGAACTATATACTTCATGGTACAATACTGATGGTTCTGGAAGAGAAATATATCGCTGCGTACAGAGTAAAAGTAGATTAGAAATTTTGTTGAATGCTATTCGTTTTGATGATGCAGAAACTAGAAAGCAGAGGAGAGAGGCTGATCTGTCAGCTCCTATATCGGAATTGTTTGCTTCGTTTATCCAGCAATGCCAAGAAATCTACAACATAGGTACCCGCGCTTGTGTAGACGAGATGTTAGTGGCTTTCCGTGGTCGCTGCAAATTCAAAATGTTTATGCCAAAGAAACCAGCTAAGTACGGCTTAATGCCGTGTACTGGCGGTTGAGAATATCCACTACTCCATATCTTCCCGTGGGTGTCGTAAGAGGCGACAGAGGGACACAGAAAGGAGATGGGCAGCAGCATCTTCCTAATAAGAACAATAGCACAATAAAAAACTGCGGTTGCCAACCCGCTCGCCAAGCGTGGCAACTATGGCAAATATCCCCCCATGAGCAACGACGCAAATAAACGGCCCCAAGTCCCCGGCGACCCAGCTATTCCTGGCTACGGTGGTGAACATGGTAACGGCGGGGTAAGGGGTGCTAAGAATCTCCGGTGGAGGTTCGGTTGCCACCTACGACGACTCGACCTGGCAACGTATAACGCACGCACCCTGAGGACTGATGAGAAGATACTGGAGCTGGAAGAAGAGGAAGACAAGTTGCGCTGGCATATTATTGGATTATCTGAGGTCCGAAGAGAGGGGGAGGACACAGTAAGCTCGAGTCCAGCAACTTGTTCTATCACCGGGAGGTTGACCATCTGTCCCTAGGAGGTGTCGGATTTATCGTCCACGTCTCTCGTCAACAACATTGTAAAGATTGGGAGTGTGTCGACGAGGGTCGCGTACCTGATATTCAGAATCACCAAACGGTATTCGCTGAAGGTCATACAGGTCTACGCACCAACATCGGCACGTCCCGATGAGGACGTGTAGGTAATGTATGAAGATATTTCTAGAGCCATGCATTCCTCCACAACCCACTACACGGTGTTGATGGGAGACTTCAACGCAAAACTAGGCACAAGAGAAGGCGGTGAGCTGAAGTTAGGGAGATTTGGAGTAAGGCAACGGAACCGTAGGGGCCAGCAGATGGCTGACTTTATGGAGAAAGAGGGACTCTTTATGATGGACTATTTCTTCCAGAAGCGGCCCCACAGGAAGTGGACCGGTTCAAATCCCGACGGTTCGACAAAAAATGAGATAGACTTCATTATGTCGACCAGACGCCAACTGTTCAATGATGTTTAAGTGATCGCAAGGGTGAAAACCGGCAGCGACCACCGGATGGTTAGAGGCACACTGAACGTTAAGTTGGAGAGGTCTCGTCTAATGAAGTCAACGCTCCGTCCCCCTCGTGCTCTAATCCAGAATCCCGAGACTTTTCAGCTCGAGTTACGTAACCACTTTCAGTGCCTAAAAGATTGCAATGCAGTGGACGATATGAATGACAAGCTCGTGGAAACTGTCCATGCGGTCGGAAATAAGTTCTGCAAGACCCGCCGCAGAAGAACACAAAAACTCTCTGATCACACTCGTAATCTCATGGCTGTTAGACGGGAGATGAGGCTGCAATCGTCAACAGATTTGACAGCATACAGGCAACTGAACAGACAGATCTCCAAATGCATGCGACGAGACTTACGCAACTTTAATACTGCTCGTATTAAAGAAGCGATCGAGCGGAACCAGGGCTCCAAAGTCAGCCAGAAAGAGCCAACTGTCAAAGCTGAGGACTGAGTGTGGCAGCATCGTTTCCGAGACACCTGAGATTTTAAGTGAGATTGAGAGGTTCTATGGGCAGCTGTACACATCATCGTTGGAGCCATACGCAAATGTGAGTAACGATCCAAGAGCAAGTCTTACCCGACAAGTATTCCGATGATATCCCGGACGTGAGTCTGAGCGAAATTAGAATGGCTCTCCAGCACCTTAAAAACGGCAGGGCCCCAGGCGAGGATAGAATTACAGCGGAGCTTCTGAAAGCGGGTGGAACACCGGTACTTGAAGTCCTTCAGAAGCTCTTCAATTCCGTCCTCGATGGTGGCACTACTCCGGAGGCGTGGAGCAGAAGTGCGGTGGTCTTGTTGTTTAAGAAAGGCGACAACGCTCTCTTGAAGAACTACAGACCGATTACCTTCTGAGCCGCGTCTACGTGCTGTTTTCGAGAGTCATTACGAATCGTCACGCACGCAGACTCGACGACGTCCAGCCTCCCGAACAAGCCGGTTTCCGAAAATGCTTCAGTACCACAGACCACATACATACCCTGCGGCAGATTGTACAGAAGACCGAAGAGTACAATCTGCCACTTTGCCTGGCGTATGTGGACTATGAGAAAGCCTCTGATTCCGTGGAAATTTGGGCGGTGCTACAGTCCCTTCAAAGGTGCCAAGTTGACTGTCGGTATATCGAAGTGCTAAAGTGTTTGTACAGTAGGAGTACGATGACTATCCAAGTACAGAATCAGAACTCGAAACCTATCCAACTGCAAAGAGGTGTAAGACAGGGTGACGTGATATCCCCGAAACTCTTCACCGCTGCATTGGAAGACGTTTTCAAGCTACTGGACTGGAAAGGATACGATATTAACATCAATGGCGAGTACATCACTCACCCTCAATTTCCCGACGATATAGTCCTTATGGCAGAATCACTGGAGGACCTTAGCACTATGCTCAATGACTTCAATGGTGTCTCCCAACGGATAGGTCTTAAGATGAACATGGACAAAACAAAGATCATGTTTAATGTCCATGTCTCACCTATGCCGGTAGTTGTTGGGAGCACTATGCTCGAAGTTGTGGACGAGTACGTTTACCTGAGACAAATAGTCCGACTAGGTAAGTCCAACTTCGACCGAGAGGTCAAACGACGGATTGAACTCGGCTGGACAGCGTTCGGGAAATTTCGACAAATCTTCTCGTCAGGTATACCTCAATCTCTGAAAACTAAAGTGTACAACCAGTGCGTGTTGCCAGTGATGACTTACAGATCAGAGACGTGGTCCTTCACTGCTGGCCGTATGAGGACGCTCAAGGTCGCTCAGCTATGGAGAGGGCTATGCTCGGAGTTTCTTTGCGTGATAGACTCAGAAATGAGGATACCCGCAGTAAAACCAGAATGACCGACGTAACCCAACGGATTAGTAAGCTGAAGTGGCAATGGGCCGGCCATATAGCTCGAAGAACCGATAACCGATGGGGAAGAAAGGTTCTCGAGTGGCAGCCTCGTACCGGTAGGCGTAGTGTAGGGCGACCCCCCACTAGATGGAGTGACGACCTGGTAAAACATGCAGGAAGTCGATGGATGCAGGTGGCTCAGGACCGTGCTTTGTGGCGTTGCTTGGGGGAGGCCTATGTTCAGCAGTGGACTTGTGAAGGGCTGTAATGATGATAATGATGATGACGGCTTAAAAATAATGTGCCTTACAGACGCAAGAAATGGTTACCTTGTCAATGCTTACATTTATTTAGGCAAAGGTTCTGATGGGCTCACTTTGACTGTGGAACAACAGCGACTATCGAAGCCGAATCAAGCGGTTTTACGTCTCATATCTGTTATTGAGGGAACTAACAGAAACATCACGGCTGACAACTGGTTTTGTTCTGTAGAACTAGTCAATGTTTTGAAAGATAAACAATTGACTCTTGTTGGTACTTTAAAAAAACCAAGCGCGAAATACCACCAGAATTTAAGGCATATAAGAAAAGAACAGTTGAATCATCGGTTGTCGGTTTCACCAAAGATATGACTTTGTTATCTTATGTACCAAATAAGAACAAGTCTGTTATTATGATTTCAAGCATGCACCATACAGCAAGCCAAAAAACCAGAAATCATTATGTACTATAATAAAACGAAAATAGGCGTCGTTTTACTGGATCAAAGGTGTTCTAATTATTCTACAGCTCGTCGTACTCAAAAATGGCCAATGGTCATTTTTATAGATTTTTGGACATATCGCTTTCAAATGCCTACATTGTCAGTTTGTCTAATCAGGCGCAAAAGACCGGAAGCAGATTCAAGTTTATAAAAAAATTGGCAGAACAGTTAACACGACCGCACATGGAGCGACGAAGAACGAATGAACACATTCCACGGGATATCAGAGGTTCTATTGGCCGAATACTTCAAGTAGAAGAAGAAATACCAAGCAGTTCCGGTGCTGACATGCTGGAAACTCGCAGGACCTGTTAAACCTGCGAGCCTAAAAAAAAAACGTAATACATTTCACCTTTGTTTTGTATGTAAAAAGCCAATATGCGTAGAATGTTTGCAAAAGATGTGCCGTAATTTCCGAGAAAAAATTTAAACTTTTAGTACTTGCAATTTTTTCAACATGTAACTTTTTTGCTTTTTATATTTCATTAAGTAATTTCTTTATGAATTTAACTAAAATTAGTCTCAATAAATACAATTTCTAAGTTCCTTTTTTTTACAGATCTCATTTTCTAAAGAAGGAAAATTTTTGGGGGCTAATTAAGAGGCTAGCAAAAAATACTAGGTTTTAAATGGCATAGCAAAACATATTTTGTTATTTTTAGTTTCAATAAATAGTATTAGTATATATCTATATAGTATAAACATGACGATAACTCTGGAGCAGTCACTATGACCGCTCGTAAGTGGTTACGTGAAAGAAAACAGAGGTAAGTGGTTTAGACCTCGTCAAAATGGATGCAATGGTGATGGTAAATAATTGAAGAAATAAATTAATGAAATAATTATTTAAACAGAAACCAAATTACAAATTTCAAAAGTTACACATAAAACATATTTCCTTTATACATTTTAAAATTAACATTATTAATTGCAAATGCGATCCAAAATACTTGCGGCGCAAACAAAAATTATCCGTTAATTTTTCTACAATTATATTATATCATTATCTATGATAATAGGCAAACACCTGATAGTCTATATATCTAAGAACACGTCCATGTATCGACCTCGTCAAAATTAACACGCCTTAATTGAAGACCTGTCAATGATAATTACTATCATTAATTTCGTTCATGAAACCTCAGAGAATACATTTTAAAATATGAAATAATTTAGCGTTTTACTTTTCTTAAGTATTTAAAACATAATTTTAGTATATAAGGACTTTGACAGATATTGAAATGTAAACTTAGCTCTTACTCAACTTTAGAGCACTTGTCGAGAACCAAAGAGTGTATAGTATAATTACACTAGTACATTAAAACACACTGACATTTAATTAACGGTAAAAATACATTGTCTACTCTCAATACCATATCAAAGAAACAATTCGGATTAAACAACAAACAAAGCAATAGAAACCTATTAGTTAAAGTTCGGACTGCGAAATTAAAAAAGTAATGGGTTCACATTCTACTACTGTTGTAAAACACTCCCAGTATTACTATTTTCAGTTTATTCGTAACACAACTACAAATGTACTGCAAGAGCATTAAAAGGTTATCTTATTACGTATTTTATATAAGTAAATACTAAGTAAACTATAAAGTCCTTTAGTGTAATGGGATAAAGAACAAATTAATTGTCAAATGCAGACCTGGTCTGCACGCTCTTCACTCTGATGACTAACACCCGATACTAGGGTTGGGTGGTACAATATCTATTACTAAACAACTTGTAGTAGAGCTATGCTGCAGCTGTATTATGGTAAGAGCACAAATGCGTCGGCTTGACCGGGGTAGGAACACAAACTGACTGATTACCAGTGTAAAATAGCAGCTTAATGATGCTATGTTTCGTATGATGAGTGTAGATAACGGGAAACCCTTTTCACCTGTAACGAGGCATGTTATCTTATTCCTTAGAGATGACATCGAACCCAATTCTTCCACTTCCACTTCAATTCTGATGGATGGTGAGAAATTGCATGATAAGAGATAAATGTGGTATGCAAGATGATGTTGTGACCAGGATTAAGAAAGGAATGCTTCGGTGGTTTGGTCATGTAGAAAGAATGAATGAGGAAAGAGTGACAAAGCAAATTTATATGGCAGATGTGAACGGCCGAGTCGGGAAAGGACGCCCTAGAAAAAAGTTTATCGACCAAATTGGCGATATTTTGAAAAGGGGCCACGTTAGAAGTACCCTTAACCGACGAGCATGTATGCGTAGATATATGGATGTAAAGGAGGCGAAAGAGGTATGTCAGGATCATGCCAAATGGAAGTCCGTAGTCTCTGCCTACCCCTCTGGGTGACAGGCGTGAGTGTTTATGTATGTATGTATGTTTTATTTATTCTTTGTAACAAAGTTACAATCTGTATTTCTATGCAATAAAGTACATTGAATTGAATGTGCGTACAGAATATTATCCTTCTGCGACTGAGGTGGTAGTCTATTGGACACCATCTAACACAAAAAACGTTGCCAGATCGCAACGTGGCGTGATGTATCTCTGTCTCGCTCAGTACCTTCCCTTACCGGCTCGCTCTAATGGTCAGTGAGACGCGGGTGAATGCGCGGTGCACACGTGTGGAGTTTCAAGCTTCCGGTATGTACGTAAGTACAGCAATTAATGTTGATTCTGATAGACGTCACCTCACTAATATGTTTTTATGCCAATAATGTCTGTTAGTCGTTTTATCAGTAAAATATTAATACTACATAGTGTCTCTCAGATATAACCACATGTTTAATTTACTAAAGATATTTTAATAATTATTTTTTTAGATGGAGACTAAAAGTAAAGACGGCAGGCCACCAAAACGGGTTAGCAGTAGAAGATATAGAATTAATGATGTGCAGATTGAGGAATGGCTTGAAGAATTAGAAGAAGAAAACGAGTTTAGCGATTTTGATGATTCGGTAGAAGATCCTAATTATGTGGAAGGGAATGTTCTCGAGCAGCAAGAGGTACTCGAAGAATTTGAGGAACAGAATATCCAATCGAATGAAAGGGATTTCGACTCTGAAGATGAAGAGCCCTTTAGCTCTTTAGCTTCTCGGGATCAAGGTGGTCCAAACTACATTGGGAAAAATGGATTTTTATGGTCTAAGAAGGAAATAGTGAAAACAAGCAGAACTCCTGCACATAATATTATTCATGTATCTCGGTCAACCGAGGAGCTTGTTTTCAGAAGTATTGACGACCTATGGTCAAAAATTTTTGACTCTCAAATAGTAGAGACAGTTGTATTATACACCAACCAAAAACTACTAACCTATCGAGAACGTTTTCGCAACACAAACAGACAGGAACTCAAAGATACAAATGAAACTGAAATGCGAAGTTTGTTTCGCCTTTTGTACTACAGCTCAGTATTTAAATGCAATGGCGCAGACGCTAACTATTTATTTGCTACAGATGGCACCGGGCACGAAATTTTCCGCTGTGTGATGTCTAAATACCGATTCTGTACATTAATCAACTGCTTGAGATTAGACAACGGAATGGATCGCCAAGAACGTTTGAAATCCGATAGATTAGCAGCTATATCGTGGTTATTTGATAAATTTATTTTAAACTCTCAACAAAACTACGTCCCAGGACCTAATACCTATATTGACGAGATGCTTATACCGTTCAGGGGCAGATGCAAATTTGTTATATATATATATATATATATATATATATATATATATATTATATATATATATATATATATATATATATATATATGCCTAACAAACCCGCTAAGTATGGGATAAAAGTACTTATACTGTCTGATGCTGAAACGTATTATACATACAATGCATACTTTTACACGGGTAAAGTTTCTGATGGAGAAGGTCTGTCACTTACTGAAAAATATCTTGGATTTCCTACTCAGTCCGTTCTTAGACTCTCGAAACCAATCGAAACCAGCAACAGAAATATAACTGCCGACAATTGGTTCAGTTCCATTCAACTGATGCAACTTTTAAAAAATAAGAAGTTGACTTACCTGGGAACTTTAAAGAAAAATAAAGGGAGATTCCACCGGATTTTTTGCCAGATAAAAGAAGAGAACCAGGCAGCTTTTTATATGGATTTACTAAAGACTTTACCTTACTTTCCTACGTACCTAATAAAAAGAAGGCCGTAATATTGATTTCATCATCTCACCATTCTGAAAGTACAGATGATAAGACAAAGAAGCTAACAATGATCGCTGATTACAACCATACAAAAAGTGGAGTCGACGAAATTGATAAAAAATGCTCGATCCACTCCAGCATTCGCAAAACAAGTCGATGGCCTATGGCAATATTTTTCAGACTTTTGGATTTAGCTGGTACTAATGCATTTGTCTTATACCAAAATTGTTCAGGTTCCAAACTACGAAGAGGGGACTTTTTGCTATATTTAGCACGAGAATTGGTAATTCCGAGCTTAAAAGAACGCGTTTATAATGACAGACTGCCCAGAGAACTCCGTCTTACTATATCGCGAGTTAAGTTAGTTAGTAGTTAGTTACCTAATCCCGTGGCTGAGCTTCCAGGACCTAATGGAAGGAAGCTATGTAGAATATGTCCAAGATAATTAAAAAGGCAAACAAGATACTACTGCTGTTCGTGCAAAAATCCAATTTGCCTGCAATGTTCCTCTCCACTTTGTCAAGACTGTAAACTTAATTTATAGATTTAGGGTCAACTTTGAGACTGATTTGTGCCTTATTCATCCATGGGATCTTGTTGTGTTTTTTGATTTAGTGCTACAGGAGAACGTTTTAAAGATAAACATTAATAATTTTATAGAAGTCTCATTATTTCGCTTTTTTTTAATAGTTTTGTATGTTTAAGCGTAAATATCATTAAAAATTTATCTCATTAAATGATAGCAAGTACTCCGTCATTTTTATTTTGAGAATACGTATTAATTTGTTTTTCATTATATATAAACCCGTTAATCATGAAATAAAACATAAACAAAAATTTTTGCGCATATCATGCTCTATAACGTGACGTCCGACAGACTACACCTAATTTGAATGTTAATGACAAAGTCATCTTAGTTGCAGAAGGTTAATCAGACTCCGATTCGCTTAAGGAGGAGGTGTCTTCATCATCATCTTCGCCTACATGTATAATTATATTATTATCAATAACAGAATCAATTCTGATATCTCGGTCAAAATGTTCCACAATCAAGTTTTTAGTCTTCTCAACAACCTTTGCCCAGTCATCTCTTTTGACTTCCCCGCAGGCTTCTTTTAATAGGATCATCATCTTTTTCGTGCTAAATGGCGGGGAAGTATTGTGGCGGGCGGCGTAACCTTTTATTTGAACCCAGATTAGCTCAATCGCGTTATATTGGTAATGATACGGTGGAATTCTTAGAATGCGATGACCGTACTCCAGAGCCAGTTCATCGATTTCGTATCCGCACATTTGCCGCTTTGTTTTCTTTAACTAATTTAATTAGCTCTGGTTTTAGCATCTGCATATTTGCGTCAATGCTTTTTGCTAGTAACCAAGCCACCATTTCTTCTTTTTTATTAGCTTGGGTAGGTGGTTTCTGTATTTTTGAACCAAGTGATAGGAGGCATTATCCATGAATATTACAGAAGGCTCTGGTAGGCTGGGCAAAAGCACGTTCTGGAACCACTCTTTAAATGTAGTGGCATTCATTTCCTCGTGGTAGTCATTCTTGGTTTTTGATTGAAATGCCAGTACCGCGTTCTCCACAAAGCCGTATTTTACAGAATCTGCGTGGCATATTATCAGACGGGCCCCCTTACCCATTGGTACTTTCGACGTCAACGCTTGTGTATCATCCGTCCAAGAACGGGAAACCGTGTGATTGTGTTGAGAAGGCGTTTAGCCATGTCTCGTCGATGAACACGATATTATCCCAGTTACCAATATTTTTTGCTTCTCTCAAAAAACTTATCCGTTTTAAAATTATGTCGTATCGTTCTAATAAAATTTTTCATTTGTCTATTTTTATACGAAAAACCAATATCTTTTAAGATTTTGATTTTTACCCCCGCTAAACAGTCCAGCTTCTCTTAACGATGCCAAAAGCTTCTTCTTGTTGAGATATTCATTTCTAGAATAGTAACCATATATATGATTTCTGATTGCATCGGCGTCAAAGATGTCAATATCTGTCACGGATTTAGTTCTACGTTTCTTCTTCGGAGTATATAAAATATTATCTTCCTGGCACAGTAGAGCCTAACTTTTCTTTATATTTGTTATAGTTCAATTGCTAACTCCAAGCGCCTTAGAGACGCGTTGAAACTCTGCCTGCAACAGGAAGCACGGGCAACTAACTTTGTCAATGCTTTTTGTTGGCTGCCGGTCCCAAGCCCGGAAAAGAGGAGGGAACAGGTTTCGCCGGAGAGAGTGGGTATATCCGGTGGACTAACACACCCACCTACGCTAGGACCTGCGCAATTGAGCGCCGTATGCGGGGATGAAGGAGTCCTGGAGGGTTGAGCCAATCGTCACCGGGGTATATAGTGTCGAGCGGCAACACGCCCTCTTTGGTCAGGATTTCAAGCTAAACGGTGGCCTTATCTGCTAGCCACAGATAAGGAAATGGCCAAACGTCACGTCAGAGGGTCGCAAGCGAGGGATGTGGGGGCTGCCTAGTCTCCCTGCAAAGGGCCAGGTGGTGGTAAAGGCCATGCTGACGGGGGCAAGTGAAAATCAACTCGGGCAGTGGGGATGGGCCTTTTCAGCCCTATCTGCCAGCTGGATCGAGCTCCCGATGTCGCGCTGTGAGCCAACTTTGCGTGCCTATATTCCCCCGGTAATCCTAACGCCTGAAATTCTTTTAATAAAGTAGGGCGTTCCCAAAAGTGCGGGCTCCATAGAGGGTGGGTAGCCGGGGGGACGAATTATTACACATATCAAAAACTATGGACAACACAAGGCCCATTAGTAGAGAGGGAGAAATGTCAGAGGCGGTTCCTTCTGGTTTATCAGCGTCTATAAACCAGAAGGAACCGCCGTCAAACTGGCCGTTCCACTGACTGTACCACCAAGCATAGGTGGCCCCACCAAAGGGGCAATTTCCGCGCTGGATGTCTCTAAATCCAGTTCCAAATCCAAGGAGCTGGACGAGAAAAATGGGCAAGGGTCCGCGAGTAGCAAAACTGTTGCAGAGCCCCAAAGGACCGAAGACCTTTTCTCTGCTGCCTGGCAAGTGGTGAGCCGTAAAGGAAAGCGCAAGGCACCCAAAATGGTGACTTGCCAACCCAACGCACCATCAGGTGGGTCTATCCCAGCAGGCAGTAGCGCAAAGGTCAAAAAGAAGAATAAGAAGCAGCGAGAAAAAGGCCGCAGAGAAAGAGCCGCGCTCGCTGCTTCCAAGAGCAAGACTCAGGGAGCTGGGCAAGCTACTGCTACTGCGGTGCTTGGGGCTGGAACCAGTAGTCGTGCTGAAACTGGGAAGGATGAAAATCCAGCCCGAGCAGTAGGCACGGCCGCCGGAACCAGCTCTAAGAAATCCGCCAGGAATCAGAGAGCAGCCAAGCGTCCTGGGAAGAAGGAAAAAGCAGCCAAAAGATTGCTGGAGGAGTCCACCTCCCCGAGAGGAGAGCACAAAAAAGTGCGACTTGAACAGCAAACAAAGGCTGCAAGAACAAGCTACGCTTCTGCTGCTAAAGCAGATTTGGGTGTGGCCTTAACGTGTGCGCGTTCAGGTGACATAACAAAGGAGGTAGCTGATGACATCCTCGTGACCATACAGAGGAAGATGATCAGCGAGGCCTGGAGTAACCAGAACCCTGATGCGTCGGGTCCGGTTTTTAGAGGCAAACCCGTTTGCGCGAAGGGTGTCCTAAAGCTGTGGTGCGATGACCAGAAGACTCTGGACTGGTTGAAGGGGAATATTAATACCCTCAACCTCAAATCCAACACCTCGCTTACTATTAAGAAACAGTCAGAGATACCACAAAGAATCAAATGTGGTATCCTTATCCCTGATGCCCAAGGTGCCTGGAAGGACTCACACGACATTGGTCGTGTGCTTGCGTACCAGAACCGCTGGGTAAACATCAAGGACTGGCTACTACTCAAAGCGGACAAACAGACGGACGGGTGGTTCCTCGTTGTTTCGGTGCCGGAGGATCATATCCCGACCCTGATGAAAGCCGGGTGCCGTCTAGCATGTGTATGTGGGGCGGTATACGTTAAATTTCAGGGTCGTGGAGGAAAATTCGTTGATTCCCCACCTAGCAAAGTGGCAGAAAAGAACCCGGAAGTCATGGATACCATGGTCATGGTTACCGTTATATCGAAATCACTGGATGTCAAGTCCAGTGAAAAAACTGCTTGCACAACCGAGCCGAAGCCCCCAGTGGAAACTGAGCTCAGCGACAGCTCACTGAGCGACGAAGAGGACTGCATTTTGCCATCCAATTCCGACTCGGTGGCTGAGATGAGACCCGTGATCTGCTGGCAGTCTTATTTTTAGGCGGGGACGGGGATGACGCAATCGATGATGGCGTGCCCTTCGTCCAAATCTAGCCTAGTGCAGGTCAACCTCCACCACAGTGAGACAGCGTCGGCTCAATTACGCAAGTGGTTAGAGGCACAAAGGACGGCCATAGCCCTAATCCAAGAGCCACGGGTTGAGGCTGGTAAAATTAAAGGCCTAAACAACCTAAGAGGTAAGTTATTCTACAACTCTGAGCACGAAAAGCCTAGAGCGTGTATTTATACCACTAAAGATATCTGTGCAAAACCACTAACAGATTTCTGTTCCAGAGACATGTATGCCATAGCATTACAAAACACACAGGAGGAAAGGTTAGTGGTCGCCTCGGTCTACATGCCTGAAGAAGACACCCCTCCCCCCTCACGACCTCGTCAGGGTGGTGAATTTCTGCGAGAGGGCCGGAGTAGAGGTTGTGATCGGGACGGACCCCAACGCACATCATCCCCTTTGGGAAATGGAAAAACCTATAGAACGAGGTAAGGTTTTAGTTGAATATTTATTTAGCACTAACCTAACCATATTAAACATTGGTTCTGAACCAACCTTCATAAATATACGCTGTCGCACAATAATCGACCTTACACTTGCAACAGAAGGACCAGCTAAGCTAATAACGGGATGGCATGTGTCGAAAGAGGCCTCATGCTCAGACCATAGATGAATCTGGTGCGTACTACAGGTCGATATCCCCGCTATACCACCATGAAGAAATCCCAGCAAGACGGATAAAACAAAATACCTCAATAGGCTGACGTCTTCGCTCGCGGGTGTTGGGCGGAACTAATACCATAGCAGATCAATCGCTCCTAGAAGAACAGGTAGCAGCTGTCACTAAATCCATGATCGATAGCTACAGTGAATCATGTCCAGTAATCACTCCACCAAAACATGCTGAGCAAAAGCAACAGTGGTGGGGTAAAGAACTAGACAGGAAACGTAAGAAGGTAAGAAAAGCCCTAAA